GTGGATGTAGTGCGGATGACAAGAAACAGATGATTGCTGATGTTATGAATGAAAAGAAGTTGGATGTCCTGGCCCTAAGCAAAACAAAGCTGAAGGGGGTAGGGGAAATAAATGGGATTAAATCTGGAGTATCTGAGAGAGTTAGAGCAAAGGAAGGGGTAGCAGTAATGTTGAATGATCAGTTATGGAAGGAGAAAAGAGAATATGAATGTGTAAATTCAAGAATTATGTGGATTAAAGTAAAGGTTGGATGCGAGAAGTGGGTCATAATAAGCGTGTATGCACCTGGAGAAGAGAGGAATGCAGAGGAGAGAGAGAGATTTTGGGAGATGTTAAGTGAATGTATAGGAGCCTTTGAACCAAGTGAGAGAGTAATTGTGGTAGGGGACCTGAATGCTAAAGTAGGAGAAACTTTTAGAGAGGGTGTGGTAGGTAAGTTTGGGGTGCCAGGTGTAAATGATAATGGGAGCCCTTTGATTGAACTTTGTATAGAAAGGGGCTTAGTTATAGGTAATACATATTTCAAGAAAAAGAGGATAAATAAGTATACAAGATATGATGTAGGGCGAAATGACAGTAGTTTGTTGGATTATGTATTGGTAGATAAAAGACTGTTGAGTAGACTTCAGGATGTACATGTTTATAGAGGGGCCACAGATATATCAGATCACTTTCTAGTTGTAGCTACACTGAGAGTAAAAGGTAGATGGGATACAAGGAGAATGGAAGCATCAGGGAAGAGAGAGGTGAAGGTTTATAAACTGAAAGAGGAGGCAGTTAGGGTAAGATATAAACAGCTATTGGAGGATAGATGGGCTAATGAGAGCATAAGCAATGGGGTATAAGAGGTATGGGGTAGGTTTAAAAATGTAGTGTTAGTGTGTTCAGCAGAAGTTTGTGGTTACAGGAAAGTGGGTGCGGGAGGGAAGAAGAGCGATTGGTGGAATGATAATGTAAAGAGAGTAGTAAGGGAGAAAAAGTTAGCATATGAGAAGTTTTTACAAAGTAGAAGTGATGCAAGGAGGGAAGAGTATATGGAGAAAAAGAGAGAGGTTAAGAGAGTGGTGAAGCAATGTAAAAAGAGAGCAAATGAGAGAGTGGTGAGATGTTATCAACAAATTTTGTTGAAAATAAGAAAAAGTTTTGGAGTGAGATTAACAAGTTAAGGAAGCCTAGAGAACAAATGGATTTGTCAGTTTAAAAATAGGAGAGGAGAGTTATTAAATGGAGAGTTAGGGGTATTGGGAAGATGGAGGGAATATTTTGAGGAATTGTTAAATGTTGATGAAGTTAGGGAAGCTGTGATTTCGTGTATGGGGCAAGGAGGAATAACATCTTGTAGGAGTGAGGAAGAGCCAGTTGTGAGTGTGGGGGAAGTTCGTGAGGCAGTAGGTAAAATGAAAGGGGGTAAGGCAGCCGGGATTGATGGGATAAAGATAGAAATGTTAAAAGCAGGTGGGGATATAGTTTTGGAGTGGTTGGTGCAATTATTTAATAAATGTATGGGAAAAGGGTAAGGTACCTAGGGATTGGCAGAGAGCATACATAGTTCCTTTGTATAAAGGCAAAGGGGACAAAAGAGAGTGCAAAAATTATGGGGGATAAGTCTGTTGAGTATACCTGGTAAAGTGTATGGTAGAGTTATTATTGAAAGAATTAAGAGTAAGATGGAAAATAGGATAGCAGATGAACAAGGAGGCTTTAGGAAAGGTAGGGGGTGTGTGGACCAGGTGTTTACAGTGAAACATATAAGTGAACAGTATTTAGATAAGGCTAAAGAGGTCTTTGTGGCATTTATGGATTTGGAAAAGGCGTATGACAGGGTGGATAGGGGGGCAATGTGGCAGATGTTGCAGGTGTATGGTGTAGGAGGTAGGTTACTGAAAGCAGTGAAGAGTTTTTACGAGGATAGTGAGGCTCAAGTTAGAGTATGTAGGAAAGAGGGAAATTATTTCCCAGTAAAAGTAGGCCTTAGACAAGGATGTGTGATGTCACCGTGGTTGTTTAATATATTTATAGATGGGTTGTAAGAGAAGTAAATGCGAGGGTCTTGGCAAGAGGCGTGGAGTTAAAAGATAAAGAATCACACATAAAGTGGGAGTTGTCACAGTTGCTCTTTGCTGATGACACTGTGCTCTTGGGAGATTCTGAAGAGAAGTTGCAGAGATTGGTGGATGAATTTGGTAGGGTATGCAAAAGAAGAAAATTAAAAGTGAATACAGGAAAGAGTAAGGTTATGAGGATAACAAAAAGATTAGGTGATGAAAGATTGGATATCAAATTGGAGGGAGAGAGTATGGAGGAGGTGAATGTATTCAGATATTTGGGAGTGGACGTGTCAGCGGATGGGTCTATGAAAGATGAGGTGAATCATAGAATTGATGAGGGGAAAAGGGTGAGTGGTGCACTTAGGAGTCTGTGGAGACAAAGAACTTTGTCCTTGGAGGCAAAGAGGGGAATGTATGAGAGTATAGTTTTTCCAATGCTCTTATATGGGTGTGAAGCATGGGTGATGAATGTTGCAGCGAAGAGAAGGCTGGAGGCAGTGGAAATGTCATGTCTGAGGGCAATGTGTGGTGTGAATATAATGCAGAGAATTCGTAGTTTGGAAGTTAGGAGGAGGTGCGGGATTACCAAAACTGTTGTCCAGATGGCTGACGAAGGGTTGGTGAGGTGGTTCGGACATGTAGAGAGAATGGAGCGAAACAGAATGACTTCAAGAGTGTATCAGTCTGTAGTGGAAGGAAGGCGGGGTAGGGGTCGGCCTAGGAAAGGTTGGAGGGAGGGGGTAAAGGAGGTTTTGTGTGCAAGGGGCTTGGACTTCCAGCAGGCATGTGTGAGCGTGTTTGATAGGAGTGAATGGAGATAAATGGATTTTAATACTTGACGTGCTGTTGGAGTGTGAGCAAAGTAACACTTGTGAAGGGGTTCAGGGAAACCGGCAGGCCGGACTTGAGTCCTGGAGATGGGAAGTACAGTGCCTGCACTCTGAAGGAGGGGTGTTAATATTGCAGTTTAAAAACTGTAGTGTAAAGCACCCTTCTGGCAAGACAGTGATGGAGTGAATGATGGTGAAAGTTTTTCTTTTTCCCTGCCTTGGTGGGAATCGGCCAGTGTGACAATAATAAAAAAAAATAATAATTATGGTAAATATTTTTTTTCAACACTTCGGCCATCTCCCACTGAGGCAGGGTGACCCAAAAAAGAAACACTTTCACCATCATTCAATGCTTTCGCCATCATTCACACATAATCTTTATCTTGGCAGAGATACTCAGATACGACAGTTTAGATGTCACTCCGAACAGGCAATATCCCAAACCCCTCGTCTGAAGTGCAGGCACTGTACTTCCCATTTCCAGGACTCAAGTCTGGGTAACTGGTTTCCCTGAATCCCTTGACAAAATATTACCCTGTTTACATTCCAACAGCTTGTCAGGTCCCAAAAACCATTCGTCTTCATTCACTCCTGACATACACACACATTTCTTCTGCATGTCCAAGCCTCTTGCACACACAACCTCTTTTACCCCCTCCCTCCATCCTTCCCTAGGATGACCCTTACCCTTCCTCCCCTCCACTATGGAACTGAACTTCTCCAGGCTGAGGGACTGACAACCTCAAATTCTCCGACTTCAAGGGTGATGGACTGATTACATCGTCTTCACATCTCTACTGTTCCTGCCTACTTTCTGTATTTGACTGAAGAAGCCTACCGTGTAGGCGAAACGTTTCGGAATAAAGTTGCCTAACTGTTGCCTGTGTGTCTTACCTACCAACCTGTCGGTATTGTATACTATTTTGATGTTCAGAAATTTATATATCTTCCAAGCCATCCTATATTGCTACTTTCTCTCTAAATGACCAAACCACCTCAGTAACTCCTCTTCAACCTCTGACTAATACTTTTAGTTACTCCACACCTCCTAATTTCCACACTATAAATTCACTGCATAATATTTACACCACACTTTGCCCTTAGACACAACATCTCCACTGCCTCCAGCCTGCTCTGTGCTGCAACATTTACAACCCATGTTTCACACCCACATAAGATTGTTGGTACGTACCACTATACTCTCGTGCATTGCCGCCTTTGCCTCCATGGATAACATTTTTTTATTCATATACCTCAATGCACTATTCACCTCTTTTTCCTTCATCAGTTCTATGGTTAACCTCATCCTTCATAAACTCATCCACTGACAAGTCAACTCCCAAATATCCAAAAGCATTCATTTCTTCCATACTCCCTCCCTCCAATGTGATATCCAATTTTTCTTTACCAAACTCATTTGATACCCTCATCACCTTACTTTTATCTATGTTCACTTTCAACTTTCTTCCTTTACACACCCTCCCAGACTTATCCACCAACCTTCGGAACTTTTCTTTAGAATCTCCCATAAGCACAGTATCATCAGCAAAGAGTAACTGTGTCAACTCCCATTTTGTATTTAATTCCCTGTAATTTATTCCCACCCTTCTCCCCAACACCATAACATTTACTTCTTTTACAGCAGGGTAATATTTTCTGAAGGGATTCAGGGAAACTACTTAGCCAGACTTGAGTTCTGGAGGTGGGAAGTACAGTGCCTGCACTTAAGAGGAGGAGTTTGGGATACTGGCTGTTTGGAGTGACATCTAAACTGTCGAATCTGAGTGCCTCTGCAAAGACAGTGATAGTGTGAATGATGGTGAAAGTGTTGAATGATGCTGAAAGTGTTTCTTTTTGGGTCACCTTGCCTCGGTGGGAAACAAATGTTGTGTTAAAAAAAAAAAATACCAAAACGCTCCTGCTGGTCATCTTCAGCCGAAGAGGACCCCAACAGGGGGTCAAAATATACAGATCAATTAATTTGGAGAGTTTGTCTCCATGCGAGTTATTATTGAGCACCATGTATGTGTGTACTATATATTACATGTACCTGTAAGATAAGGCCTAACCATTAATCTCATAATTGCAACACCAGATTGGTTAATGTTATGTAATATTTCAGATAATTGTAGGTGATGCTATATCTCACATGAAAGATATGATCAAGGAGAAACGAACCTTTGATTATGTATTTGCTGACCTAACTGATGTGCCAATATCCCCATCGCCACGTGGGGAACTGTGGGATTTTATGCGTGCAATTATGAACCTTGGAACTGAACTTGTGAAACCTGACACTGGGAAATACATGACTCATGTAAGTTACTTTTGTAAAGTTTTTATTGAAGCTTCTACACATTTTTGGGAAATATTTTTGACATCTGTAGGTCTTCTTTCAACAAACTGACCATATCCCACCGAGGCAGGGTGGCTCAAAAAGAAAACAAAAGTTTCTTTCTTTAAATTTAGTAATGTATACAGGAGAAGGGGTTACTATACCCTTACTCCTGGCATTTTAGTCGCCTCTTACAACACACATGGCTTATGGAGGAAGAATTATGTTCCACTTCCTCAGGAAGACCTGCAGGTATCATGTTGAATTGTCTTCAACCACAGATGCTGAGTGTTCTCTTATTGTACCCATGGTACTCCTGCTTTTTTATTTTTTATTTACACACTGGCCGTCTCCCACCAAGGCAAGGTTACCTTAATAAAATTGAAAAAAGCTTTTCTTTTTACGTATACGTACGTAATAATTTATGCAGGAAAAGAGGTTACTAGTTCCTTACTCCCAGGATTTTAGTTGCCTCCCCTTGCTTATTGCTCTGTCTGTTTTACCCTTAATTCCACACCTCTCACTTTTATGTGCTATATATATCATCAGACGACTCTCTTCTTTGCTCCAGAGAGTACATTCCAAGTTCTTTGCGGTGTTCTCGGTAACTTAAATACTTTATTGGCTTTGTGCTGACAATACAGCATCTCTACATTTTCCAGCTGATCTCTCTCTTTCCTTGAACAATAAGAAATGCCTTTACAATATGTAGTGTAAATGTTGTTCTGTAACCAGTTTATATGACAAGATGTTAATGGAAGTGTGAGGGTAAGTAAGTAGAGGTAAATGTACAAAATATTTATGATATAGGAGTTTGAATTACTGTTAATTTCTACAAACTTACCTTGGGTTTCCTTGAGACTCTAGGTAAATAGTAGGTACAGCATAAATATATGTATTTATCTTTCTCATTGAACCTGCTGTATCCTACCAAGGCGAGCGACCCATAAAGAAAAAAGTTTCACTTTCTAACTTTAGTAACGTAAACAGAAGTGGTTACTAGCCCATTGTTCCTGGCATTTTAGTCACCTCTTAGGACATGCATGACTTATGGAGGAACTATTCTTCTCCACTTCCCCATGGAGATAAATATATGTACATGTACAGTGATTATGTATGAGTGAAAGTGTTGAATGATGAAAGAATTTTCTTTTTGGGGATTTTCTTTCTTTTTGGGTCACCCTGCCTTGGTGGGAGACGGCCGACTTGTTGAAAAAAAAAAAAAGTATACCTGAAGGTCAGTGCCCCCACAGCCTGGTCTGTGACCAAGCCTCACAGCAAGATCAAAATAAAGAGGTGATATCACAATATACAAAACAACCACTGTGAAAAAAAATAGTGGGATTCCAAAGGTTTTTGTAATGCCTCACAATATCAATAAGCTTGGTAATGTGAGAAATCACACAAGTGCTTCGAAGCTCACAATTTTTTCAGAGTGGTTGTTTCGTTTATGTATATTATTAAGTTATTAAATTGGAATATGCATATTTATACCAAATCATTTGTTTTTCAGGCAACTGGAATCCAGTGCAAGAAAGCTCTGACAATGTTTGAGGAACAACTTAGTAGTCTTGAGATACCTGTGACCTTCACTCAAACTAGTCACTATGTGCCTAGTTTCAAGGAGAAATGGTGCTTCTATCAAGTCACTCACAAGTCTCTGAAAACATAGTGGCGTATAGTTCCTAGCAATGGAGAATTTGTATTCAGTTTACTACAGATACAGCAGATTTCAGCACTTGACTCTTTTTTCGCAAATTTCTTTTATCTGTAGAGATTATTCCAGGTGATACTCCTATTAAATTTATACCTAACACTTGTATTCAATATATGCCATATACAGTATTATATATTTTATATACTGATGAAATAAAATAAACCAATTAAACATTAATTAATTTTTCATTATTGTGTACTACAGTTGCCGTTGTGTATATACCCATTTGAGCTTTTAAGTCTCTTAATAGTTCTTGTTCTTAGTGTTATTGGGCAAGTGTTTCCTGATGTTGGTCTTAGTCATATGATCTGCAGCAGGAGCTTTTAGTAATCTGATGGAGGCCTTCCACTGGCTTAACACTCCACCTTGAAAAATTATGGTTATGATTATAACCGTTAGATATATCTTATTGTTTCCTTTCCATGGGGAAGTGGGCGAGAATCCTTCCTATGTAAGTCATGTGTTGTACAGGCAACTAAAATGCCAGGTATGAGTAGCTAATATCTCCTTCTGTATAAATTAATAAGAGGACAAAGAAAATTTTAAATTCTTGGGTATGTTGGGGGTTTTGTTCTGGGGGCGGTCCCTTTGGGGGCCCGTTGATACCAGGTCTGAAAAGGGGATTGTTTAAATTTAAGGGTGTGTACGGATTGAGGGAAAACATGATTAAAAGGGATGCTGGATAGTTTTTTTCACCACATGGCAGTTCCCCCCAAAGGCAGGGTATCAATAAAAAAAAATTTCACCATCATTCCACATTTTTAAATAAATAAAGGAAAACGGTAAAAAAGTTTCAATGGAGGTGTAAAGGGAAAATTTTAGGTCAGGTATATCGAGAAAATTTAGAGCTAAGAAGAGGAGGGTGTTTTTAAAATGACCATTATGGAAAAAAAGTTTTGGCAAATAAGGACATTTAATTCAAGAAAAAGGGGGATAAAGAAAGGGTGTGAGTGAGAAATGGTAATAGTAAGTGTTTATTCACCCCCGGAAAGAGTGTTTTTTGGAAGGTGTTGGGAGTTTTGAACCAAGTGAGAAAATTGGGTGTGGGGGGGGCCTAAATGCAAAGTGGGAGAAAAAGTAGGTATTAGAAAATTGGGGTGCCAGGGGTTAATGAGAAAACCCCCGACTATTAGGGGGGGGAAAAGGGGGGGATTTTTAAATTTTTAGTGGGAAAATAATATGTGATGCAATTAATGTAGGATTTAAAGTAGCGTTTGTTTTGGGCTAAGTGTTACATGTAGTAGATAAGAGGTTATGGGGAAAAAAAAAAGGGGAATTAAATTTTTATATAAAAAAAAAAAAAAAAAAAAAAAAAGGACCCCTGGAAAAAGTCCGCCTTTTTTGGATCAGGCCAAATTGTGCAGTTTTTTATGTAAAGGAACCAAAAACTTTTTTATTATATTAGTAAAAAACCCCAAAAAACTTTTTTTTAAAAAAAACGTTACATTTTTTGGGTTTCCAAAATTTTACACCTTTGAAAAATAAAAAAATCCCCTTTCTTTATTTTTGAAATGATTAAAATTAAAAAATTAATTTTTTTTTGAGAAAATAAGAAATTTAATTCCCTTTTTGGAAGCAAAATTATCTTTTTTTTGGACTTTTAAAAAATTTATTTAAATTTTTTAAAAAAAAAATGAAAAAGTTATTTTTCCCCTTGTTTTTACTCCTGCAAAAATCTTTCAGAATTTTTTTTTGAAATTTAAACTCCCGGTAATTTTTAGATTCGGGGCATAATCGCCAAACTGTTCAAACGTTGTTGCTGAATTGATGATCTTGAATAAGTTTTGATCAGTTTCAGTTTGGAGAAACTCCATTCTCCAGATGCCATAGTCACTGGGATTGTCAAGAAAACCTGAGGAGCAATAAATAAATTTGGAAATGCGGTAGACCGCTTTTGGGGAAATTCACCAACATATTATAGGTAGTAGGTTGGTAGACAGCAACCACCCAGGGAAGTACTACCGTCCTGCCAGATGACTGTGAAACAGAAACCTGTAACTGTTTTGCATGATGGTAGGATTGCTGGTTTCTTTTTCTGTCTCATAAACACGCTAGATAACAGGGATATCTTGCTACTCCTACTAACACTTTGGTCACACTTCACAGACACACACATGCATATATATATACATACATCTAGGTTTTTCTCCTTTTTCTAAATAGCTCTTGTTCCTCTTTATTTCTTCAATTGTCCATGGGAAGTGGAAAAGAAATCTTTCCCTCCGTAAGCCATGCGTGTCGTATGAGGCCGACTAAAAAGCTGGGAAGTCAATGGGCTAGTAACCCATTCTTCCTGTAGACCATTTACTAAAAAAGAGAGATAAAAAACTTTATAAAACTGGGATGCTTAAATGTGCGGGATTAGTGCGGAGACAAGAACATATGAATTGCTGATGTTATGAATGAAAAAGAGGTTGGATGTCCTGGCCCTAAAGCGAAACAAAGCTGAAGGGGGTAGGGGAGTTTCAGTGGGGGAAAAAAAATAAATGGGATTAAATCTGGAGTATTGAGAGAGTTAGAGCAAAGGAAAGGGGGTAGCAGAAATGTTGAAGGATCAGTTATGGAAGGAGAAAAGAGAATATGATGTGTAAATCAAGAATTATGTGGATTAAAGTAAAGGTTGGATCCCGAGAAGTGGGTCATAATAAGGTGTATGCACCTGGAGAAGAGAGGAATGCAGAGGAGAGAGAGAGATTTTTGGGAGATGTTAAGTGATGTATAGGAGCCTTTGAAACCAAGTGAGAGAGTAAATTGTGGTAGGGGACCTGAATGCTAAAGTAGGAGAAACTTTTAGAGAGGGTGTGGTAGGTAAGTTTGGGGTGCCAGGTGTAAATGAAATGGAGCCCTTTGATTGAACTTTGTTATAGAAAGGGGTTTAGTTATAGGAAATACATATTTTCAAAAAAAAGAGGATAAATAAGTATACAAAGATATGATGTAGGGCAAAATGACAGTAGTTTGTTGGATTATGTATTGGTAGATAAAAGACTGTTGAGTAGATTCAGGATGTACATTTTTTATAGAGGGGCCACAGATTTTATCAGATCACTTTCTAGTTGTAGCTACACTGAGAGTAAAACGTAGTTTGGATACAAGGAGAATAGAAGCATCAGGGAAGATAGAGGTGAAGGTTTATAAACTAAAAGAGGAGGCATTTAGGGAAAGATATAAACAGCTATTGGAGGATAGATGGCTAATGAGAGATAGGCAATGGGGTCGAAGAGGTATGGGGAAAGTTTTAAAAATGTAGTGTTAAGTGTTCAGCAGAAGTTTGTGGTTACAGGAAAGTGGGTTGCGGGGGGGAAGAGGCCGATTGGGGAATGTGATGTGAAGAGAGTAGTAAGGGAGAAAAAGTTAGATATGAGAAGTTTTTACAAAGTAGAAGTGATGCAAGGAGGGAAGAGTATATGGAGAAAAGAGAGTGTGAAGGCAAGTAAAAAGAGAGCAAATGAGAGAGTGGGTGAGATGTTATCACCAAATTTTGTTGAAAATAAGAAAAAGTTTTGGAGTGAGATTAACAAGTTAAGAAAGCCTAGAGAACAAATGGTTTTGTCAGTTAAAAATAGGAGAGGAGAGTTATTAAAGGAGAGTTAGAGGTTTTGGGAAGATGGAGGAATATTTTGAGAATTTTTAAATGTTGATGAAGATAGGGAAGCTGTGATTTCGTGTATAGGGCAAGGAGGAATAACATCTTGTAGGAGTGAGGAAGAGCAGTTGTGAGTGTGGGGGAATTTCGTGAGGCAGTAGGTAAAATGAAAGGGGTAAGGCAGCCGGGGATTGATGGGATAAAGAAAAAAATGTTAAAAGCCGGTGGGGATATAGTTTTTGGAGTGGTTGGTGCAATTATTAATAAATGTAGGGAAGAGGGTAAGGTACCTGGGGATTGGCAGAGAGCATGCATAGTTCCTTTGTAAAAAGGCAAAGGGGATAAAAGAGAGTGAAAAAATTATAGGGGGATAAGTCTGTTGAGTATACCTGGCAAAGTGTATGGTAGAGTTATTATTGAAAAAAATTAAGAGTAAACGGAGAATAGGATAGCAGATGAACAAGGAGGCTTTAGGAAAGGTAGGGGGTGTGTGGACCAGGTGTTTACAGTGAAACATGTAAGTGAACAGTATTTAGATGAGGCTAAAGAGGTCTTTGTGGCATTATGGATTTGGAAAAGGCGTATGACAGGGTGGATAGGGGGGCAATGGGGCAGATTTTTGCAGGTGTATGGGTAGGAGGTAGGTTACTGAAAGCAGTGAAGATTTTTTTACGAGGATAGTGAGGCTCAAGTTAGAGTATGTAGGAAAGAGGGAAATTATTCCCAGTAAAAGTAGGCCTTAGACAAGGATGTGTGATGTCACTGTGGTTGTTTAATATTTTATAGATGGGGTTGTAAGAGAAGTAAATGCGGGGGTCTTGGCAAGAGGCGTGAGTTAAAAGATAAAGAATCACACATAAAGTGGGAGTTGTCACCAGTTGCTTTTTGGTGATGCCCTTGTGCTCTTGGGAGATTCTAAAGAGAATTTTGCAGAGTTTGGTGGATGAATTTTTGGTAGGGTGTGCAAAAGAAGAAAATTAAAAGTGAATACAGGAAAGAGTAAGGTTATGAGGATAACAAAAAGTTAGGTGATGAAAGATTGGATATCAGATTGGAGGGAGAGAGTATGGAGAGGTGAATGTTTCAGGTATTTGGGAGTGGACGTGTCAGCGGATGGGTCTATGAAAGATGAGGTGAATCATAGAATTGATGAGGGGAAAGGGTGAGTGGTGCACTTAAGAGTCTGTGGAGACAAAGAACTTTGCCCTTGGGGGCAAGAGGGGAATGTGTGAGAGTATAGTTTTACCAACGCTTTATATGGGTGTGAAGCATGGGTGATGAATGTTGCAGCGAGGAGAAGGCTGGAGGCAGTGGAGATGTCATGTCTGAGAGCAATGTGTGGTGTGAATATAATGCAGAAAATTTCGTAGTTTGGAATTTAGGAGGAGGTGCGGGAATTACCAAAACTGTTATCCATGGGCTGAGGAAAGGGGTTGTTGAGGTGGTTCGGACATTGGGGAGAGAAGGAGCGAAACAGAATAACTTCAAGAGTGTATCAGTCTGTAGGGGAAAGGGAAGGCGGGGTAGGGGTCGGCCTAGGAAAGGTTGGAGGGAGGGGGTAAAGGAGGTTTTGTGTGCGGGGGCTTGGATT